TTTATACCAGAACACAGCCGCTGTGATGAAACCGTGGAGAAGACACGTCACCATGGAGAGCCGTTAACCAATATGCAATTTAGCCTGCAGTACCACTGCTCTACCCATATGAGCAGCAAAAACACGTTTTTAGACCAAATATTACAGATTTGAACAAATACGTACAAAAACATCAAAACTAGCACAGAAACAGTACTATATAACATTTTAGACACATTCTAGACAGTTTATCAGCTAAAAAAGTTAATTTTGGGGTAAGTTCCTCTTTAAATAAATGTCAAATTTGTTCTCATATTTCAGTCTTGTTTGATGGGTGTCAGTTTTGCAACACAGGTGTACTACTTTAACTTAATGTCGTTTAGTGGCTTCTAGTATTTTAAGGCAGAATCTCAAGACAGAATGCAGTGATATATTTATAATACAAAAATTAGGCTGCCCAACTAACTACCCAGGACGAACCGGTGGATCTGAATGAACTAATTAATCTGGCTATCCATATTGACAATCACCTTCGTGAGAGACGAAGTCAAACTAAATACAACTCCCAGGATTTCTCACTACTGACACCAATACTTCCTGTTCCGGTAAGCCATGTTTCCGTTTCCACTCCAACAAACTTTTCCTCTGAACCAGAACCTATGCAGATCGGTAGAACCCGTCTGACCCCAGAGGAAAGACAACACAGAATCCCTGCCAAAGAATGCCTGTATTGCGGTAAGAATGGACAGTTTATCGCTAACTGCACCTTACGTTTTAAAGGCCGACCCCACCAGTAGTTCAGGAGATACTGTATGGGTGGGCACTGCTAATCTTTCTCCTGACAATCGGCTAACTCTCCAAACTACTTTGTGTGTTAATGATATAAACCGCGTTTAGAACTCACCTTGGTCAATTTGAATACCTAGTAATGCCATTTGGACTCATTAATGCCCCCGCCATCTTTCAAGCTCTGGTGAATGATGTTCTAGGGGATTTTTTGAATCAATTTATGTTCGTTTACCTCAACAACATTTTGATTTACTCCAAAGACCAACAACAATATCATCAACATGTCTGTACTGCTTAACAATGCCTCCTGGAAACACAATTATTTGTCAAGGCCGAGAAATGTGATTTCCATGTTTTTTCAATTTTATTTCTGAGTCTGATTTTTGAGAGTGGGTAGGTACGGACGGATCCAGAGAAAGTGAAAGCTGAGACTGAGTGGCCCGTCCCCGAGAACAGGAAACAACTGAAATGATTCCTCGGGTTTCCCAATTGTTAACGTCGATTCATCAGAAACTTCAGTCAAGTTGTACCTCCTCTAACCGGACTCACCTCCATACTCGGCACCTTCTTGTGGAACCCCAAAGCACAAAAAAATTTTTTTGTAAGTTAAAGGAACTCTTTTCTTCTGCTTCTATCCTACATCACCCTGATCCTAATTTACAATTTATCATGGAAATGGATGCTTCAGACTCTGGGGTGGGGGCTGTTTTGTCTCAGTGCTCCCCACTTGATAATCGCAATCACCCTTGTGCTTTTTTTTCATCGCCTGTCCCCATGTGAAGTCAACTATGATGTTGGAGATTGGGAGTTGCTGGCCATCAAAATGGCACTTGAAGAGTGGAGGCACTGGTTTGAGGGGGCTGAGATTCAATTCATTAAATGGACTGACCACAAAAATCTCTCTTACCTCCAACAAGTCAAAAGACTCAACACCAGACAAGCCAGATGGTCACTTTTCTTTTCACAATAAGTTTAGCATCTCCTATTAACCAGGGTCTAAGAATGATAAAACTGATTCTTTGTCCCGTCAGTTTTCTTCTACAGATAAAAGGTGGTTATATTGGTCATCAGTGTATGTTCCCATACAATGACGAATTTTGTGCTCTGCATTTAACCCATCCATACCCAAGTGGAGCAGCGGGCAGCCATGTGAGGTGCCCGGGGAGCAGCGGGTTGGGTGTCTTGCTCATGGACACCATGGCATGTGGGCATGGCGGGGAGTCAAACCTGTGACTTGCGGGTCACAAAGCCGGCTGCTCTACCACTACACCACACCCATCCTCCTGTTTGTGAGTCTATCCTCCCTGACATTCTCCTGGCTCAAATAGAGGAACCCGACCCTGGCACTGGACCTCCCAACCAATTATTTGTCTCTCAGAACACTGTCAGCAAAACCCTCACCTGGATCCACACCTCAAGGTTTTCCTGTCACCCAGGAGTCAACAGAATGGTTTCCTTCACCAGGTAACATTTTTGGTGGCCTACCCTTTACCACGACATCAGGAAGTATGTGTCTGCGTGTTCTGTGTGTGCTCAGCAAAAGTCTACATCAGCCACCATCTGGACTCCTTCAACCTCTCCCTGTTCCAGGATGCCC